ATTTGAGTTGGAGCGCCAAAGGGAAGCCAAGCTTCGAGAAGAAGAAGAATGCTGACTTTCTGTTTGTGTACGTTTTTTTTTAATTTTTAAAGTCATCTTGCATGTGCCGGTTATAGCATGCTTTATGTCATACAAATAACTACCGAACAGTATCGTTGTAGCGTATTACATGTCTATATAATGTATAAGTTCTAAATATAGACAATAAAGTATCAGATTTCTTTGCTAATCCAATATGGAGAAGGAAACTTCTAATAATGGAGAAGAGAGCTATTCTAGTAACTTTGAAACGACCAGTAGCAGTGAAACGACAATTAGTAATGAAGATGAAGTAACCAGTGCAGGAGAAGAAACCAGTACTTATATTATTCGTCCGTCGTATTATGTCAAGTAAGAATTGATTTTTGCGATCCATATTTGACCTAGAATGAAAAATGAAGTAACTGCTTATTAGTTAAACATAGTTAAAGTATTTTCCTTCAATTTTCTGTTATTTTAAAGCTTATTTTTGGGGGAAAGTGAAGAATCACCCACTGCTTGGCGCGTTATTCAAAATCGCCAACTTGAAAATAACAATTCAAAGAATTACAGAAACTTCGGTATGCATGTCCACATCTACCTTCACTTAAAAAAATATCACAGAATTGCGAACTCCCTTTATCCATGTACACATCGATAAAGACAAGGAATATGTGGGCGATTCTGAATTTCGCCCGAAATATTAATTTCAGAGTGACGGTTATCTCTTTGATTGAATATCTGTTTCTAAATTGAATATTCTGCTTGAGTTCAGTGTTTAAATTATGTTAAAATCAATTTATAAAGCTCTTGATAAATGTGTTTATAATAGGAAATTTCTTACGGAGTATCTGGCATGATAAACTGTGATTAGCTAGTCATATCATCTGGTATTAGAGTTTCTGAAATTACTTTCATTAACTATGAAATCCAGCACATAATCACATTCATTTTTATACATTGAGGCACTCATATGGTCCATTCAGCATATATACTACGAGTGCCTTTAGATACTTAATTGAATAGTGTAATCTGATGTTAGCCATGCCTTCATTTAACAGTAGCTGTGTTTATGAGTTAGGATTTAGTATATTTAAATTATTATTTTTGCATAAAAATGAAACTAAAAAAAAGAAAAAAGTTCTGGCCTTTTGTCACTGAGCATCTGCTGTTTTTTCTGTGTTCCAGGTATTAAATCTAATTTACGTTCTATAAAAATCAAAACTTAGGTTCTAATCTAGATTTATTTCAGCAGCAGACAAGTAGGTTGATCTTTGGATTATGGTAACTTGGCGATTTTTTGGCGAAAATTTGGCGACCAACTCTGCTACAGCAACCCTCTATTTTTTTTCGCCGCCATTTTGTCTTCACAAAGTAAAGACATGTTTCTTTTCTTTTTATTTACTGAACACTTTTTCCAACAATCTACTAGCCGAATTACACTGATGCTAGAAATTTTATGTAACAAAACTGCTTAATCATGACAAATATTAACTGCAAAATTCGGAAAAAGTGGCACAATCGCAAACTCCTTGCACGTTTTTTCAGAATAGCCATACACATAAACCATTTACACGTTGACTTATTTTTACTTAAAAAAACATCCCAGAATGCACAAAAATGGCATTGCACACACTCTTAACTTTATCCATCTACACTGCTATTTTCTCATAATTACAAAAATTTGCACGAAATGCAAAAAAATTCTGTGAATCTTTAAACTCGGTAAAAAGCACATATATGAAATTATCTGATCACGAAAAAGTATATACCCAATCCAAGAATGAACATTTCCACGTATAATATAAATATCCAAAAACTTTTACCTCTAAATTATGTATTATATTATAACGTCACCAACGAATTCATACCGCAACATTACAAATGGTTACAAAATACTTAGTGTCAAATATTTAAATTATTTCCATGCACGTTTAACTTCACTGAAACGTATACCAAATTCCTACAAACATAAAATTCACAAAATAACTATCATTTAAAAAAATACACTAAACCATGTACATGTCGACTTATTTTTACTTAAAAAAACATCCCAGAATTGCACAAAAATGGCATTGCGCACACTCTTCACTATATCCAAGTACACTGCTTTTTTTCGGTACTTTTCCGTTTTGCCTGTGCAAATCTCGCCAAGCAGACTTTGTTGGCGACAACATGCAGTATACACATAAAAAATGTTAACAACATTAGTTCTAAGAATTTTTTGTTTTGAAGGCATAAACATTTTAATATAGTTTAAAATTTTGTAAAAAGCCAATAAATTTGTAAAAAGGCATTAATTTAAGAATTTACTGTGCTTTCATGGTTCAATATCCTGATTGACCGATTCGTATCACGTGACCCCAAATGATATCTCATATCACGTAAACTGCGCTACAAAAATCTAATTCAGTAATTATCTACATTAATTTCAAGTTAAATCTTAATTTGGAATACAAGTTTAAATGCAAGAATTATTTCAATTTGTACGAATAGCTTACTAAGAAATAATATAAAATCTCAATGCTTTACTTCGCTAGTGCATTCTCATTAGAATTAATGAATTTAACCCATGATTTTGCCTTTTCTTTATTTTCGGGTGAGCGGTGTGATTGCACTCTAATTGACTTAATCACCGCGAATGGTCTTAGGGCATAAAATTTAACTATCCTGTAAAAATTTTATGTAATTGTATGCCAGTATTGAAAGAAACAATCAATCTGATAAGAAATGGCTACAACGTGTTTTGGAAATCAGGCGTAAAAGGTTACCGGCAAAGGTATTCCGTTTGGCATCAGTTGTACCATTGTTGGCGACTTTAAAGTTTGCGCCGGCAAAACGGAAAAGTACCCTTTTTTCTCATAAATTAGAAAAATTTCACGAAAAGGCATGAAAATTTTGTGAATCTTTAAATCTGGTAAAAAGAACATATATGAAATTACCTGATCGCGAAAAAGTATATACCCTTTCCAAAGATGAACATTTCCACGTATAAAATAAAAAAATCCAAAAAGTTTTACCTCTAAATTATCTATTATATTATAAACGTCACCAACGAATTTCATACCTCAAACATTACAAATGGTTACAAATACTTAATTAAATATTTAAAATATTTAAATTAATTCCATGCAAATATTAAAATTATTTCCATGCACGTTTACTTCCACTGAAGCGTACACTAAATTCCTACAAACATATAATTCACAAATAACTATCATTTTAAATTAAAATACAAATTAAAATATAAATACATTGCTAATAACAATTTTCCAATAATACCATATTATTTTATTTACTCCTTACATTTAGAACAATGCATAAAAAATAATATCCTCAAATAATTAAAAATACTACTTACCTAATCTTCATCAGAATCTTGATTACGTGTCCGATAAACTTTTCTTATTTCCTCCGCTAAATAAAAAAGCGTATGTGCGCCTGTTTCAGGATCTTTAAAATCATACTTATAGTTACAGCAAGGTACCAGGTAAAATAAATAACTTAATAAAACATCTTTACTTCTATCTCGCACAACCTTAAAAAAACACTTATTACTACCTCTTTCAATCCCACTAAATACCCATTTCGAAATCACTTAAGTTAGGGCCATGGGATCCAAAAATTAACCAACACTGTTTCACACAACACAGAATAAAGCTAAATACAATTTCCAGATTTTTTCCCGATTAAAGGACTGTAATTTGTCCATTAATGTCACATGACATATCTCATGATCTCTCATTTCCCTCGCACAAAATAATGCGTAATCGGAACTGAGTACTTCTCACATTATAACCAAAGTCCTAGGTAGTAACCTTTATCGCCTCCAAAAGGTCGCCAAACTACCAGTTACCATATTCCAAAGATCAGCCAACAAGTCTAATTTTTCTCTTTTTTCTTCTTTTTTTCTTTCTTTTCTTTTTTCTTTTTTTTTTTTTTTATACAGTGCAGAAGAAATTTTGGTTGATTCTTGGATTATGGTAACTTGGCGATTTTTTGGCGAAAATTTGGTGACCAACTCTGCTACAGCAACCCTCTATTTTTTTTTTTTTTGCCGCCATTTTGTCTTCATGAAGTAAAGACATGTTTCTTTTCTTTTTATTTACTCAACACTTTTTCCAACAATCTACTAGCGAATTACACTGATGCTAGAAATTTTATGTAACAAAACTGATTAATCATGACAAATATTAACTGTAAAATTGGGAAAAAGTGCAGAATCGCAAACTCCTTGCGCGTTTTCAGAATAGCACATACGCATAACCATTACCACGCCACTTATTTTACTTAAAAAACATCTCAGAATTGCACAAATGGCATTGCACACACTCTTAACTTTATCTATCTACACTGCTATTTTTCATAAATTACAAAAAATTTGCATGAAAATGCAAAAAAATTCTGTGAATCTTAAACTCGGTAAAAAGCACATATATGAAATTACCTGATCCGCGAAAAAAAGTATATACCCTTTCCAAGGATGAACATTTCCACGTATAAAATAATAAAATATCCAAAACTCTTATCTCTAAATTATATATTATATTATAAACGTCACCAACAAATCATACTGCAAACATTACAAATGGTTACAAATACTTAGTGTCAAATATTTAAATATTTCCATGCATGTTTACTCAACTGAAACGTATACCAAATTCCTACAAACATAAATTCACAAAATAACTATCATTTAATTAAAATATCAGTAACCATGTACAACGTCGACTTATTTTTACTTAAAAAAATCTCAGAATTGCACAAAAATGGCATTGCGCACTCTCTTCACTAATCCATGTACACTGCTTTTTTGTCATAAATTAGAAAATTTCACAAAATGCATGAAAATTTTTGTGAATCTTTAAATCCGGTAAAAAGAACATATATGAAATTACCTGATCGCGAAAAGTATATACCCTTTCCAAGATGAACATTTCCACGTATAAAATATCCAAAAAGTTTTACCTCTAAATATCTATATATTATAAACGTCACCAACGAATCATACCTCAAACATTACAAATGATTACAAATACTTAGTGTCAAATATTTAAATTATTTCCATACACGTTTACTTCAACTGAAACGTATACCAAATTCCTACAAACATAAAATTCACAAAATAACTATCATTTAATTAAAATATCACTAAACCATGCACACGTCGACTTATTTTTACTTAAAAAAACCTGCCAGAATTGCACAAAAATGGCATTGCGCACACTCTTCACTATATCCATGTACACTGCTTTTTTCTCATAAATTAGAAAAATTACGAAAATGCATGAAAAATACTCAACGACTCAAACGTATTCCAAAATACTACAAATATATAACTCACAAATCACGATTATTAAAAAAAATATAAT